TTTCACCCAAATTCAATTTGGGTATCATAAGTATCAAATTGTGTAAGCTTCGGTCTGTCTGGTTTCTGAGACATGCTTTTCGACCCATAGTCGATGGAGCCATCGACTGCGTGTCTGCCGTGGCCCATTTCACAAAACGTTCTTCTCGAAGACTCCCGACTTAACACAGTAGACATCGTCTGTTTTTCTGTACCAAGACGACGGGAACTGTGAGGGACTCGTCAGATTTTTTTGGTTTGAATAGAGAGGACCTTACTTTTGAATTGCCCAAGGTAGCAGCAGTTAGATTTTCAGGCTGTCCTTGTTGTTGCTGTTGATGCTGTTACCTAGATAGAGGAAATTATTTACGACCTTTCTTGTTGTTTATTTGAGACTGTCAACAGCGATTTGAGAGTCAAGGTGTAAATGTGCTAACTTTGTTTGATGACTGAAGAAATTTCGTCTTGTCTTCGATCAATATCAGACCCATTCGCTTCGCTTTCGGAAACTAATCGCTTATTTAGTTAATGAATTATTGCGATTCTCGTCCAATTTCTTCCATTGGCTAGAGCGTCCTTACTTATGACCCAAGGACCCCTGAAGTATTTCAGTCCTTTCTCCTTTTGTTAAAATTTTTGTTCATTGAATTTTGATTCGGACTGTTAATTTGCACAAATATTAGATATAGATACATATGTATGGATGTATATGGACTTGTATTTAGTTGCTTTTTACGGTCTTTTAGCTGCATCCGTTTACTTTTGTGATGCGTACTTGCGCAGGGTTGATTTTCGCGGTTTACATTTTCTACTGCTTTGTAGTACCATAAATAGAGTAGTATGTACATACATGCATATATACATAAATACAATATTTGCATATATCGGTCCTGGATACTGTATACATACATATATTATATTTGTATGTACATATTGTTATCCATATGCTCGCCAATGTCTCACATATAAACTCATATACACGTATGTATATATGTATATATGTATATATGCATTTACTTGACATCGTGAGTACATTGTACATGCGGGTGACATGGCCACAAGGTCAAGTGCAGAGAGTGCGCATCTTCTGTCCGCTGTTGTTCTTGTTTCTGCTATTTCGTCATCCAATGGCCATAACAAAAAAAGTACCTAAAGCCAAACATTCACACATATGTATATATATATACATCTGTAATTGTATATACATCACTGGCGTTTTCCGCGTGACAACTCGTTCTAAAAAAAAGAGAAAACATTTTTTTTAAATCTACATGCGTTTTTTTTTGACAAAAGTAAATAATAATCTTGAAAATATTAGTAGGCGGAAAAGAAAAAATAAATAAAACAAAGTACACTCGAGAGCATTCAATGGAAAAATGGCTTAGTTAAGTGATAACAGTGAATTCATATATGTACATACGTAGCATGTATGTATGTATGTAAGATGAATTCGATTTGGAGCTCCAGACCTTACAGGAAGTGTCGCAAAAATAAGAACAACAATAAGCAAAGAACAGTGATAAGCAATCTACGATCAGCTGATGAAATATCAGCCCAATCCTTGCTATTCTCTCGGAAATTCTCCTTGCGTTTTTAGAAATCCGCTAAGAAAAATGTTGAAATGTATACTAAACATATAGCAAATCTGGCATCTTCTATAATATAGCGAGTCATTACATGCTCTCGCTTTATATCTTTCCTCTTCCTGTTGAATTATAATAAAGAACATCACGTTGAATTCAAGCTCTGCTTTTATTTCTCAAATCAGGTATATTTATCACAAAAAAATCCTTCAATTCTAAATGCACAGGGGGAATGATTTTTTGATGAAGTAAATGACAAAGAATGGCAACGAATTCTTCTTCAACGTAGATAAATTCTACATCAGGGCAAATATCCATGTCGTTTGGCAAGGTCTCCTGTTACTGCAATCCAAACTTCCTCGCAGCCAGCACTTCCACCGATATTTCATCCCAATTGAAGTTTTGAGCCGCACTTAGTTCTTTTGATCAACCCACACATCAAAAAAAAAAAATGCGTACTCTCTTCCATTCCAACAAAATTAGTTCACCTTCTTCCAAAATTGGTTGAACTCCTCCTTATTGCCCTTAGAAAATCCTTGGGCTATAGCCGGTCGAGATTTAATTAGCTCTACTAGCAACTAAAACGCAAAGAAACCATTATATAAAGATTATTTGTGTTTATTTATTAAATACCTAAAATTTTTTCATAAAGACTTCCACCCAGCATCTATGGGAAAAACTCTTGCGGAATATTGAAATAATCCGATTTTTTTTTGCGTTGTTGATGCCAACTTTTTCCACTCGGAATTTTCCTCTTTTCGAAGTTCGCATATGCACATCTATTCATTAAAATTGATTTGATGTGGTTGGCAAGTCACAGCTCTGTCTTTTCAAAGCTCCACATCTTCCTCGTTGTCAGTAGAGTAATTACCCGTTAGTAGGTCAGTTGCAGCGCTAATGAAGAGTTGGCTTAAAAATGAAGAACTTTTTCTGTCCTCGTACAGATTTGGCAGATCTTAACAGACACTCTGTCGAGGGAAATGGTGTGGCTATGGTGCTGTGCAAAATTTTCTCGCGCTAAAATTGGTTTTCCGTTATGAACGAATGATATTATATCTATACCATCGACATTGATTGGGGCGTCGGGTTCACAATTCTGGATGTGTCATGATAGGAAAAAGATCAAGTCTCAAGTTCTTCATACTCACGCACTTCCACTTCAACCTCGCTCTTTCCCTGCCTGTAAATGCATACCGCTGTTCTCTTCAACTCTCGGTATCTTTCTTTGCGTTGCAGTTGATCGAAACGTTACGAGATAATCATTTTTCTTTCCAATGTGCTGCGGCAATCCGCATTGTGCCGTATTCTCTTTCGGCTTTGTCGAAAACAAATAGTTCATGTCGTTTCTAGTAACGTGGTCTTTCTCATCCCTCGGGCCATGGACAGAAATCGGCGATAGTACTCGATGTCTTTCTTCCATCACAAACGAGCTCCAAAATTGTTGTTTTGAAGTAGTAAAATACTCTTACTGTATTCGACAACTTCCAGCACCGATTTGCGCAGAACCCTCGCTTAGGCCATTCGAAATAAAAAATCTCGCGATTTTAATTGATTTTTAAAAATATTTTCTTTAATTTGTTATTATACAATTCATAAATGTTGATGCTTAATTCGAGGCTATACTCAATTCTTATTCTTGCGTCCACGTCGCGTTCGCTGGAAACGTGATCAACCCTTGTGCAAGATGCGGTAACCAACCCGTGTGGAGCCTTGGGTCACGGCTAATGAGAGAGGAAGCTTCAATGGAGCCACTCCGACTTATTCGGTTTAAGCGTCTGCTGAAGTCTGACGCTAAAATTGTCTGTTCACCAGAGGTGCAGCTGCAAGCGGGCGTCGGTCTTGAAGCTAGCGGCTCGCTATATAAAAGTGTAAAAACTTTAAACTTACGAGTTATACGGCGACATTGATATAGTTCAGCGAATCAAGAAGCAGATACCACGCTGGCTAGCTCATGTGGTCCGGGTGGATATGAATACTCCAGCTTTGACAGTTCTCGATGCAGCGCCCGCTGGTGGAAGCAGAGAAAGAAAAAGACCTCCACTCCGATTGGCGTCAAACTGCAAAAAAGAAGAAGCGAATGGCGCAATGTTGTTAACTCGGCCATAATCGGCGAAACGGTGTCTGCGGCAGTAAAGTAAGTAAGAAAGTTATTTAAACATTTTAAAATCGTTTTTTTACCCCGCCTCGCTGTTGTTCCACAACCGATCAAAAGAATACTAAAACGCATCAATTCTCAGAATAAAACCAAAGTCTTGCATTCGACATCTCGTAATTCCGGGGGAAAAATCATCGAAAACGAGAAGCGATGCAAGCCGCGACCACAGCGATGTCGCATTATGGATTGCTACTTAATATTCCTAAATTCTTCGGTGACGAAATTTGCCACTTAGTTTTTACATATGTATGTACGTGTGTATGTGTTTAGAAATCGTGATCTAGATGTTCGGAAAAAAAAACTCATTTCCGTAATATATTATCTGTCATTATTGGCGAAAATGTTGATGTTCTATAAAGGACATTATTCAAAGGTGTTTTAGAAACGGACACAGAAAAGCTTATTCATCAGAATAGTATCGGCTGATAAGACTCTCCTTTGTTAGCTATTTTCCTCGGTTTAAGTAGCGGAACCACCTTGTCTTGCCAGCATGCTTATTGCGTCGAGGCCGATGGATTTTGCTTTCGCCATTCCGATGGGGGTAAAGGTGCTGAAGGCACTGCCGTGGTGGCTTGGTGCACACTTAGGCCACGTGGGTCTCAAGGCCTAAGCAAGTCTTAAAATGACTCCACCCATTGCGCTGGTTGCACCTAACCGAGGTGGAGGAGTGGCGAATATTGTCCGGCAACGGGCTGAATATTGTCTACGTCTTCGCTGACGATCGTCATTTCTTCATTTTCAATTTAAAAATAAAAATATGTTTGTATGTAGCTAAAATGATGAAGCGAGAAACATTTGAATTTTTTTCAAAGTATATTTTTTTTTAAATAAGTGAGAGCTGTTCCCCATAACATCAGCAACATTCAGCTGAAATAGGCTACACTGGCTTAGAAGCTTGATCTTCTAGGGGATGGGTAGTTGTCGACAGAAGAGTTCTGGAAACTAAGTCAAGTCATTCGAGAATAGAGGACTATATCATGCTCATGCGACATGCAGGAGGGATCTGGCATCACTTTATGAATTAGTTAAAAGAACTCAAAACATCTTGTTACTCAAATTATGCAGAGGATAAGATTTAAAAATATATATATACATACATATTACGAGCAGATAGAATCTGCCATCACAGTATAGTATTATAAAATGCTAAGACTGTTATCGTTTAAGCTCAAGGGGCAGATACATACATACAAACATACATACATACCAACGCTATGCTTGTTGGTAGCAAGAATCTCTGGCGTATAATACTGAAATATTCTACGAAGGATAAATACAAGTTCGTCTGCATTCCAATATGTTTTTCATTGATATTAATTTTTTGTGGAATACATACATACATATATTATAACTTATTTGAATACTTTGTACTTAGTTTTATAATTCTTTTACATAAACACAGAATTCAACGTCATTAAGTTTAATTATCGCTCAACATTTCGTCAAGCAGCTGTAGAACCCTGAATTTGAAATGCCGCATTTGTGGCCTTGACATGTCAATGAGATCTGGCAATAAACTTAACAAGAATTGTTTTTTGGCGTTATTTACTAATTCTATAGACCCGGCCTTCTCAGTAAAGGATAAAGCATCATTTGTCGGAGTAGGTTTGGTGCTTTTATTTTTTACGGTGTTGCTGCGTGCCTTTTCCTCGTAACTAGGCTGCGAAACTTCAACATCAGCCTCTCCGATTATAAACTCCTCCCCAGAGCCTGTTGATAATTTTCTTTTCTTTGATGAACCAGTATCTTCTGGATCGGAAGCAAAATTAATGGGATCTTCATCGATCTCATATAGTTCTTCAGCTATTTCACTTTCATCTGCACTTTGACCTGAGTCCATATAAATTTCTTCTTCTGTCTCCTCTTCCTCTTCGCTTTTGGTAATCGTTCTATCGGCCTTTATCGTTTTTTTCAATAACTCGGGTTTGTATGATTTTTTTAAATACGGTATTACAAACTTTATATGATCGTATAAATAATATTTTGATGTGTGTTCACCCAGTTGTTTTTGTTTCAGTTTTCTCACTAAAATGGTACGAAAATTTTGCCATTTTCTCTGTAGTGACTGTGCTGAAAATTTAAAAAAGAAATTAATATTAATTATTGATTAATTTGTTTACAAAAAAAATTATTTAAAATAAAATAATAATTTCGATGTCAAAGATGCACCAGGTTTTGCTGTGTGTTTAGTGGGATCGGCAAGGAATCGTCTACTACGAGTTGCTCCCATATGGTCAAACTCTCAATTCGGCCCTCTACAAATGGACCGCTTGAAGGCAGCAATCATCCAGAAGATGCCATCTTTGATCAACAAGGGCCGAATTGTGTTCCAACAGCACAATGCTAGGCCACATACGTCTTTGGTGACGCGCCAGAAACTCCGGGAGTTCGGATGGGAGGTCCTAATGCACCCACCTTATAGTCCGAACCTGGCACCAACTTATTACCATCTTTTCCTGTCCATGACGACGCGCTTAATGGTGAGTAGTTGGCCTCAAGAGAGGCCTGTGAAAATTGGCTCTTCGAGTTTTTTGCCAATAGCGACGCATTATTCAACAAGATGGGTATATGCCATCTCGTTGGCAACAAGTTTGCGAAGAAAACGGCGCATATTTAACTGAAATCGGACAAATTTTGAAAAATCAACAAACAAAAAAAAACCGAATGAACTTTTTACTTGACCAATATGTAGATTGTAGTTTAAAAATATGCAAAATATTCCTTTATCTGTGCTTTTAATCGACAGGCTATGAATCACAAACAAACAAAAATATCCGAATTCGGTACAAAATCTCTACAACTTTTCCAAATTCTTTTATTTCAATAATTTCTCTTAAAGTATGGAAATGTATTGCGAATTGACACTTCACCAAAATAACATCGAAATTATAAGGTATCCGCAAACTACAACAAAATCTAAAGCCGCAATCTATACCACATCATTACTGCATATATATAAACTTATGTATGTATGTATGTTCAGTGGCTCACAACCGTAGTGGTGCAGCTATGTAAGAAATAGAGTAATAAGTTTTATTAAAAAGTAAAAGAATTTCCAAAAAAAAAAAAACACGAATGCCGGTTAATAGCTGCAGATATACACATTTCATTTATGCTTTAAAATATATTTATTTATATATATTTTACGTAGATAACAACAAAAACAAACTTCACTATTCAAGTGTTATCAAAAAAATTACTAAATTTAATTTTTTCAAAAGAATCAAACTAAAATTTTATGTTTATTAATGTTTAGTAGCATACCCCATGCTGTCTATGACTGTTTTCATACGTTTGGGTATGGATTCCACTAACTTCTTCGTGTAGCCATGAGCAATATTATTTCATTCTATTTGCAGGGTTTTTTAAGTCGGCTTGATTTCGAATCTCATATTTTCGAATATCTCGTTCCAAAACTGACCACTGATTCTCAATCACATTCAAATCTGGAGACTGCGCTGGGGTTTGCACTATGTCGGACAGTTCCAAATAAGCCAACTTTGCACAACGACTGATTTGTGTTTCGGAGCAGTATATTGATAGTACCGAAACTTATCACCAATATTTAATTTTGAGGCAAATACACAGTTTTACCCATAGCCCTGTTGATGAAATCCAAATTTCCAACTCCAGAAGACGACATGCATCCCCATACCATTACATGCCCTCCACCCTGTTTTAAAGTGTTACGTTTTATGGTCCCAATGCAGCATTTGCTTTTCTCCATACATAGCTCTTTCTATCTGATCTAAACAGGTTGAATTTACTTTCGTCCACAAAAATTGCGGTGCCCCAGAAACTTTAATCTTTATATAAATGGTCCGCTGGAAACTTCAGCCTAGCACTTTGATTTTTAGCGCTGATATATGGTTTATTTCGAGCTGTGCGGCCATTGTAATCAGCTTCTCTGAGGATTCTTCGTATAGTTTTCCTAAAGCTGGAGCACTTAAGTGGGGAATTTCGCGTATTTTCTGTACAATCCATCGGGAATCACTTTGGTTAAATATTTTATTATGAGCCGTTTTAGGTTTAGTTAACACACGACTTTCACGAACATAGCTTCAATGATATGCTACACACTTCCTTGGCGCAATTTCACCATTTCCGCGATTTTACGCTGACTTTTACTATCTTTATGAAGATGTTTTAGGATTAATTCGCACAATTCAATACTTGTTTGGCGACCCATTTTGATTTACACTCAACCAATGCCAATGCTATAATGTCAAACTTATCTCATATTACACCAAGTTTGCTCGCGATTATAGCGGTATTTATTTTGCATTCAAAAATCGTCGCCAAGACGCCGCCACTAACGGAAAATTTTTGTGCATCATTTTCGCTGTGAGATACAATTAAATACTGAAGTTTGTTTTTGTTGTAAATTACATAAAATTTAAAATTTTAAAGCATCAATGACATGTGTATATCTGCGTACCACATTTCACTATTTTTGTTAAAAAAATCATTTTCAATTTCAATAATTATTACAATAATTTAGACTTTGCAATGACAAGGAAAATATTAGCAAACTGTTAGTTTGTTTTTTGTCATTTCAACTTCATATTTTATCGTCTGCGAATTCTACTTAAGTGTTCAATTTCATTATTACAAATATTCAACACCCTATGACAGTGCACTACCAACAAATCGCAAGCCACATCTCACCTGTACCAACACTAATTTATTTGAATACTTACGATCACAATTCAACTCCTCACCAATATCTATCCACGCTCTTTCCCTGTTTTCTGCTCTTGTGTATTCCTTAAGATTTCTATTGTATATAACTGGATATTTTTTCACAGTTTTTACCAAACGTATATTAAACTTGTGGTCCTGTAGAGAGTCCATCATGAAAATTGAAATACCATCAGCAACAACCAAACTCAGCTGTCGCTCACAACAAACTGAGTTCGTGTACAAACGTACCGGTTGATACAACTTTGTTGTATCGTAGCACTGAGCAAACGACGCGATATATGTTGTAAAATTTGGTCGGATGTGCTCGTCGAGAGTAACACGCCAGTTGTAGACGATAAGTTGGTTGTATTGTGTAGTGATTAATGTGAATATACATATGTATGTATATATGTACACAATTCCACTTTCGCGCCATGAGAACTACGAACAAAAATTGTATGTAGGGTTGTTTGTTAGGTTACAAATATGGTGTACTTACATATGCAAACCAGAATGCGCCCTTATAGGTGTGTTCGGTGAATAATGCTGCTGAGAATTATGCTGCAACTATCCATTTCACTTACCAGCTGTCCAAAACTGGCGATGTCAAGGCGAGATACATAAACGAGTTATCGACGCTGCTGAGAGCGCCGAAAGGTTGCCAGCTGCTTGTGTGTTTGCACTCTTTTGAACGAATTCATAATTTTCGTCAACGAATTTCAAAATTTATTTGCTTGAACATAAACACAAGGCAAATATACATGATCTATATAGTAACAAATAATTAGTTATGGATTTGGTTTTAATTTCTTTTGAACAAAACTACGCATTATCTTCGATCATTCAATGTTACTTTAAAAAAGACTATACTGGCAACCTTGTATAGAAACGAAAAAAGAGCCGAGCCGGTTTTACGGAAAAAATCAAATCAAATTTAGCGCACTTAATAGTTGTCGGTTAATAATGAATTGAATTGAATTATACAACAACAGATTATATGGCTGATGTTGGCGCAGTTGTAGAACACTCGCCTGTTAAGTCAGGATCTCTTGGTTCGGCAAGCGGTGACAACTTTGTGTTTACATTGTGCTTTCATAAGATAGGCTATGGACGGAAGGTAGGTTAGATGGGTAGTTACAGCATAATTGCCCATCGTGTTATGGAATAAAACTTATGTTTCAAAAGAAACTTGAGATAAATAAGTTTTGAGTAATTGATGATTTTTGAATGCAAATTCGTATATTTTTCTTTATTTGGGATTCCAGGTTTATAGAATAGAAGGTTACGACAAGAGCGACATCATATGTTTAATGACAAAGTTGGTTCCATTTTGCGGGCTACCGAAAATTTTAAAATAAATTTTCATAATTTTATCTATGAAATAACGTAGCACTTTCACTATAAAATTTTAAAGTCCTGTATTAAAATTTTTTCAAAACTAACAGCAACGTCCTGAATAGTTTTATGTCAAACAAATGTATTTTTTCCCCAAAAAAGTTGAAATTATAAAAATTAATATTATTTTTTAGCAAAAAATTCTATAGTTAACGTTTCATGTATCACGAATGGCAGAGAAGATAATGTCAAAAACGTAAAAAAATTATCAAATTTCGAAGCTAACGCGCATTATTGGAAAATATATAACATAAAAAGAGATTTTGCATATTTTTTTAATCTGCTGAAAAGCTTTTGGGAAAATGCTAATATTGTCAAAAAATGGTTTTTAAAAATTCGAAGCGGTGAAAAAGTGTGCAGTGGATTCTTGTTAACAAACATTTGAAAAAAAAAAACTTGTATGACTGATTCATATTAACATTATCTGAAAAATTAAAACTAAGATGGCTCCAAATACATATATATTTTTTTAAGGAAAAAAATACTTTTTTTGATAACACAGGGTGCTCCATCTCTTATGTCGGTGTGCAAACGTTGAATAACTTTCAAATTTACCAATCGAGCGATTGCATGAGATAAGTTTTGGAAACGTCAATTCAGTACAATTTTCGCCATGGATTGCTTCAGACCGAAACACTTGACATCGAAACCAGTCGTTCCTTTGTGTTAACTCAATGTTTAACCCCCCCGGACTTATTTTTGAGGGGTTATCTGAATTTACGCCAACCAGCCTCAAACTATTGATGAGCTCTAGGCAAACGAGATACACGGAAAAGTAATGGCAAACGCAGAAAAAAAGGAGTCATTTTGTGATTGCTAATAAAGGTAGCCACTTGATTGATATTGGTCTCAAAAACTAGGCCGACAAAATTGTAAGGAACCAAACTGAATAAAAATAATTCACTTATAAAAATCGGTTGATTTTTTATCAAAGTTATTCAATGTTTACATACCGAAGTATATATGTATATATGACTGTAGAATTCCTAAAATTGTCAAAATAATATTTTTAATTCAAATATTTTAGATGTGAAGCATAAATAATACCCTTTGAAAACGACGACAGATCATTCCAAGTAAATTACACAGATTTTACAACAATATCATTTTTATTCGTAACTGAGCTACGGCCATTTTCGCGGCAAATTGCGATCACAACCAAACACCTGTTCCGAATTGCTATTCATATACATAATTTTTTTAACTTTAAGCAATTTTGTTCACTAAATAGGGTAGATATTTTAATTGTTTATTTCAGAAGCACAGAGAGGAGAAAATGAAATAATTTCTTGCATATTTATTTTTTAAATCCATTCGTATTTTACAGTTTCCAGTTTTCCACTTCGTGTATACACATTCCGTGTAGCCACCTTTTCTGCGGAAACCTACATATTCATGCATACCCGTATGTCAGAATTTCATTTAATTATCTTGAACACACATTAAAGTTGTAATACAATGAAAATTTACCGGCTACCATTTGCAGCCAAAGAAACTGTGGCAGCACTGCTTTTTTCGTCCATGTCACATTACATTTGCCAGTTGGTGCAGTAAAAAGAAGAATATTCATATATGTACATATATATTTGCATTTCATTTGTTGTTGGGAAGCAAATTTTCCCGGCTTTAACTTTGACAATCAAATTTGAAATATAATGCAGTGATCGCGAAACGGAAGGTTGGCTCATTGCAGTTGACAATTCCTTCCAACGAATTCCTGAGACGGCCCGTGGGAAAAGAAATATATTGTTGAGAGAAACCTCAAATAAAGCGGCAAAAATGTCTTTTGTCTAAAATATTTTGATTTCAAAATTACATATGAAAATGACCATATACTCCCTTGTGATATGGTGCCAATTCGTTTATAAGCTCTAAAAATCTGTTTTGTTCAAGCGACATTTTAATTTGTAATTTTTTTCGCAAATTTCTTAGCATGCGCCTTATTGCCCTTTTTTCTTCATCTCTAATTAATTCTAGACGTAAAATATATCTATACATTTTGGATTTTTATTTTTTTCTAACTAAAAACACTGATTTACGGATGAGGTGCCAAGTTCAAAATATTCTCACTGAAGATTCAGGTATTCGTATCAATGACTTCGGGGTAAACAAATTTATGCAAGCCTGGAATTTATTCATTACTGAGAATATTATTAAATTCATCCAAAGAACTATTGTACATATCAGGATCCTTGAAGCGGATTTACATGCACTGAAAAGAATAAAATTTTTACTCAATTCATTGCGGTTTGACGATGTTATTAGAAGACCATGTCGTCGCACTCTGGACAAAGCTGCACCCATAAGAGAGGTTCTAGAAATATTCACACGAAACTGTCTTTTACCATATCTGTAAGTCAGGACGTTGTTATTGATGAGATGAGGATAGGTTTCCGTCCGTTTCGACTGTATCATACATAAATCAAATTCTGACAAATTTGGAATAAAATTTTATCCGCTTGTAGACGCTGCTATATATTTCGAGTATGTCCTCAACATTGGACTTTATGCACGCAAACAGCCCGACGGCCCATACCATCTGACACTGACCACTCGTAAAAGCAAAAAAGGAATACCTATGTTCTCGCTTTACTGATAAAAAAAAACTGCTGAAATAGATGAAAATATGAACAAAAAGCGCAAAACAAGCGTCGTTTCTTTTAACAACAAACAAAAGGCGGGGTCGATAAGAAAGTTAAACTGTATTCGACAACAAGAGAAAATAATATATTGCCGTTGACACTCTTCTTTGGTATTCTGGATATTGATGGATTAAATGCCTCGGTTATTTTGATGGCAAGCCTTCCAAGAAAGCTAAAAAGAAACATAAGGGACCATTTGAATGTGGAAGTTAAAGATGGTGATGGTAATGACGTAAGCAGTAGTTCCAGTGTATAAAGAGGAAGCTGACAAACATGTCCTGCAAAAAATGTTTATTTATAATGAATGTGATCTTGGCGAAGAAACTGATCCTGAATACAATTAGATTTAAGGTTAATTATGTTTTATTCTTATTTGATTATTTTTTTTTGGTTTTTACTTGATGTATAAACTAGTTAAAGGTACTGTAGGAAGGTTTTATGTTTCTGAATTATTTATGATGGGAAAAATATTTGAGTGATGATATTTGATTTTATAACTGATTTCAGAAATTCGGCTCTAAACACGATGATAATAAATTGAACACAAAAAATTAACGAATATTAGTTAATTAGTGTTTTATTTCTCTAAAATATCCCGACCGATACCGTTTTAAATGACCGCGCAACAGCTTGAAAGTTAAAAGAAACTGGGAGACGGGTCGCTCGGTGTTTCCTTTTGGTACCTTGGAGAAGAAACTCTCATGTTTATTGCAATATCGGCATACTATCGAAGCCCACTATTGTAGTTTTCTATAAATAAATATTCACAGACTCCATTTGTGGGCATATGACCCCACACCAACTGATGATAGTTGTCTCATTTAGGGCGGCACCTTCTTTTATCCGCATCGTTCATCCGACATGTAAACGCAGAATTTAGTGGCGTTCGAAAATATTACCATGTCAAAAGAAGTCGACTTACCTGTTTATATACTCGTTTCTTTCGCAAGGGAAAGCTGGTTCAGCAGAACTTCCATAAGTTTTCTTTAGCTACAAACGTCCTATTATGTTTATGCTGAATAAACGTAAGCTTACCCCACATTTCCGCAGGGATCAGCGAGAAGCTACCAATTGTAACATTGACAGCTAAAGGCCCGGAATTTGATTCCAAGTCTTTGTATATAGTCACTTCGATTTTTGTTATATAATCATTTGTAAAATGGGGTCAACCTAGTATACACTCTGCTCGTAAGCCCTAAAAAAATTAAAATCTTGCTGGAGAGACGGACTTGGCTGTTATATATTATATTTAATTTATTAATTGTATTCAAAATTTATTCCATTTCAACAATACCCATCTAACAATAAAAACAACGATATGTTCTTTCTATAGTCCTCTAAAAGGACAAATTCTTATGTAAAACTTGCTTTGCGACGATTTGTTGTTTAGGTTTTCGGCAAATTCAAATTCTTTTCCCGTGTAACTCTGCCATATTAACTCAATATTATTATAGATTTTATTCGATTTGGTTTGAATAAAAACCAAGCAAGAGCTTTATTTTTTCCCTTCTAAATGCCACTAATATTTCATTTGCACCATCGTCAGTGTGACCTTAGCAACAAACCTTGCTTCGCATTGTTTCGCGGCTAATTTGGTCCACAATGCTTTCTAGTAATTTTAAGGAGTCCCAAATCGATTCGCGTTGTACAAAATATAATAATTTGTTCTAATTCGATGCTTTCAACATTCTCAGTTCCTAATTTATCAACGTGGGCTCGGTGGTAAGCAGACGATGATCCATCCATCCCACTAAAACTGCCCCCGCATTCGCATTTAAAGAGTATCTTAACTATTGGATTGATCGGTGATGCGGTGTGTATCACTCATATTGAAGAATCAATATTATTTTCATTTTAAATAATTTGTGTTTTGTTAACAAAAATTCAATCTCACGATCACAAATCAGCTGTTTTTCATACTTGCTAGTGTGTACTGGGTCAGATTTTCGCAGAATGGATTTGCAACTTTCTTTCCAACTAAGCCAACCGTTCGGCTCAAAGAGCACGATCCAGATGTTAAAGTTGTTCCTGCCCATCTAGTCAACTAACAGAATTCTGTATTGAATATCTTATATAAATATTACATTATCGTATATTTCCAGATGTTTTAACCGAATAGATGGAAATCTTTTGATAAACATGAAATTTATTGTTACAAAGCATCTTTGTTTGAACTATCAACAATAATAGAATCAGTTTCGAATCATCAGAGCTGACGGTTCTCTTTAGAAGGCTGGTTTATTGTAGAGGCCAAGGTGTTAGGGTTCAAGTTATGTGTTTGCACTTATTTTCATTAACTTTTATTCCTCTTTTTGCTAGCCAACCTTCAATTAGTTTATATTGCTGTTTCACCACTCTTTTGGCTGCACTTACTATCGCAGTATCATCCGCAAAAGTTGACGTAGATACTTCTTTACTTGTCGTGATATCTGCGGTGAACAGTACAGTGTGCGCCATCCAGACCTTCGGTATTTCAACATTGAATAACTCTGTCCGTTTTCAGCCGATTTTGACAAATGTGCGTGATTCTGGAACGTCATTCAGTGCCATTTTAACCATGAACCAATACATGCTGGAAGAGCGCGCTGAAATCCTAGTGCTGCTGTTGCAAGAATAATCGATGCTGAGCTTGATTTTTAGGAACACTTACCGAACACCTACTGTCATTTGATACTCCTCTGTTATGTACTGATTTGCTTTTAGTGTTACGTCGTAGTTGTTTAATTTTATGGATTTATTCTTTTATTTCTCCCAAAATTTTCCTATTTCATATTTTTCGCCAAATCTAAATTGATTTGTTGGAATTGCGTAAGTCTATTTCATGGGGAAAAGGAGATATCTGTGGAAGCATCGCTTTTTCGAAAAGTTCGGAAATGCTGATTGGTCGACATGATGACAGCACGGTTGCGTCTTTACCTGGTTTAGCTATCATAATTATCTTCGACTGAAAAGCTTTGGGAGAAATACGAGAGCCATGCTTGGCAGTTCGAATAGCATTTTTAGTGTGATATGATCGAAAGTAGAAGATTTTTTTTGGATCTAAGACGGTAGTAATATTTTTCAGTTTAGACACAAATGCTCCGCCAGTAACATTGTATCCAGGAACATTATGATATAGTGACAAAGGTACATTATTTGAGCAGTGTTCGGTTGGAATACCTTCTTAAGGTGCTCTACAAAACAAGTCGGCTATGAAACACAGACGATGAACTATGTTTCATAGTTTTTTCTTCGTCGTGTCTTAATACCACTTTTAGTCGGGTATCTGCCATCTTAAATCGTGCTTTTACATCGGACGATCGGCAGGTTTGTTTGGAGCAAGCAGCTCGATTTCGCACTTAGTTATAAATTTTCCGGCCTGATTCGGTGTAGCTATAGTTGCTACTGTCGCTAGCTTACTGTTAAACGCAAGTAACTCGTTATCTACATACATAAATCACATCGGATTGGTCTTGGCGTCCTATTTTTTACGTATGCCTTAAATCAAATATGCATGTACATACATATGTATTTCTTCTTCTATTTTCTAAAGTTTTTATTACGTTATTGATAATGAAATATTTTTTTTTGTTGAATTTTACAAAGTAATTGTTAAACGTGATTAATTTTAATTCTCTTTCAAAACTTCATCTATCAACCCTAAAACTTTGTATTTGAAATGTCTCATCTGCGAGTTGGACATTTCATTAAGATCTGGTATTAAACTGAATAAAAAATGCTTTTTGGCATATTCACCATTTGCCAATTCCTCAAGTTCAGTATTTCCAATGGGGGTTGAAACAACACGTGTGGCATTGGAAAGCGGAGTAGAGTGCGCACTGGTCATAAATTTTCTATTGCTAAACGCATTCGTTTTTCTCTTCAGTCTGTGCTGTGGGTTGGATGATTTTTCAGTGGGTTCCACGGTTATAATATTCCCTTTTAATGAGGACAATGATGGTTTTTGCTTTGTTGTAATAGTTTCATCTGAATCATAATTTTCATAATTCATTGTGTTTTGATCGATGTCATCTATTTCATATTCTTCAGCGCATTGCTGATTCACCTGTCCTTTGATTTCCTCATTGTCTGTTTTCTCATATTTTGCATTCGATTCCCGAGGCTCATACGATTTTTCAAGATATGGTATAAGAAACTTTATGTGATCGTATAAATAATATGGCTGAGCGTCTTGGCCTTTTTGCTTTTGGCTTAGTTTTTGGAGCAAAGTAGCACGAAAATTTCTCCATTTCTTCTGTAATGGCAATACTAAAAATTTGAAGAGATATAAACAGGTAATAATTAATATCGAGAAAATAAAAATGTTTTTTATTTTAACTTATTTTATTAGTTTAGCAAATTTGGTTTTACGATGAATATATTATTTATGTGCTTGATTTAATTTTAAATCGTACGTTATCAAAATGCTATCCTATACACCTGTAGTTACCAGATCTGCATTTGAATTTGATTAGTGAATAAGAGATTATTATAATTATTTTTATTATTTATCATAATTGAAATTACAATTAATATGAAACACTAGCTACTTGTGTTATCACAACTAAAAAATATTTTATTTATTTAAAAGAAGACGCAAAAGTCAGGTTCACAGTCCCTAAACTAAATCAAATGAATGAAAAATTTTTAATTCGCTGCGAAGGTAACTTTACCTTACTCAATACGCACCGTCTCTCCTCCGCCCTTGCCTTATTAAATTGTATACTTACCATCACATTTAAACTGCTCTGAAATAGCCGTCCACGCTTTTTCTCTTGCACGAATACATTGCTTGTGCTTATAACCCTTTATTTTAGTATTGTATATAACTGGATACTTTTGCACAGTTTGTACGAAACGTATATTAAGCTTCTGATCCAATAGCCCATCCATTATGCAGCGAAATGTTAAAAATGACAAAGCGAGAAAATACGCAAAGCAAACACAACAAAGGTTGATAGGACACTGAATTGATGTAGGCATCTTACACATCGCACTTGCATAAGTTTGTTGGCATTGTAGTGCATGATATAATAATATTCGCTCGTTCGGGAACTTGTTCGTTGAGTTCATGAGAGAGACTCCAATACACGCCGAATTCATAAATTTTCTCACACACTCTCAAATGTTTGCTCTCTTACCTACACAGTTACAATATTTTCATTCAAATTGTCAAGTTTTCATTCTCCAATTTTTTTTTTGGTTTTGACAGCGCTTCTTCTGCGCACATATTTTCAGTGTGAAGAAAAAAATTTTATGTTACAAAAGCCGATTTATGCTGATTGCATTTTTCATGGTAACAATATTATTCATTAATATAATAATTCTATATATCAATATATCTTTCGTTATTTTAAAGATTTGTACTAAGTGAAATAAATTGCGTCGAGCTTCTGTGGCACTGCTAGGAAGCAACATTTCTTGTGGATTTTTTGATTGCTTAATTTTTTGTGACGAGGGTGCATCGTTATGGTGAGTTCCAAAACGACAAAATACTTTGTAATGATGCGGTTGTGTAATGCAACCCTGAATTCCATAAATTTTCCTTTGCAAACTCTAACATTTTGGAACGCTTTTCGTGAAAAATGCAATTTTCTACGTCCGAAATCTCAATTGAAACAATTTCAACTATAAATTTATTGCATAATGCTCATTGCAATTATAAGATTATATTTTTGCTTCTTTTTTCACTTCAATTATGTTAAAAAATATAAATAATTAATTATTAAAGCTAATCTTAGTTTCAAGTCGAACAAATAACTGTATACTTTGAAACAGTTTTCAGATAAAAGAAATCGGACCGATACCCAAAAAAAAACTATTTTGTCCCTTACAATACCAAAAATATGGCAACTGCGAGTAGTACAGCCGTTAATATAAACAAATCCGGATTACGATAAATCAAATATCACATTTTTTACCATTTTCTTCTTTATTGCGTTGTTAATAAACAAAAACTCTTATTTCATTCTAAAAGGTTACTTTTAAGCGTTACAAATTTTAATTTTCTCTCAAAATTTCGTCTATCAACTCTAAAACTTTGACTTTGAAATGCCTCATTTGTGAATTGGACATTTCATCCAAGTCTGGTATTAAACTGGATAAAAAATGAGTTTTGTCATTTTCACACCTTGTTGATAGCTCAAGTTCAGTATTTCCGATGGAGCTGGAAGCACCAGGGGTAACATTCGGAAGTGGAGTAGAGTGCGCACTGTTCCTAAAGTCTCCATTGCTAAACGCATTGCTTTTCCTCTTCAGGCCCTGTCGTGGTTTGGTAGGTTTTTGAATCGGTTCCCCCTCTAACAATGATAATGATTGTCTTTGCTTTGTCGTAGAAATTTCATCTGAATCATTACTTTCATAACTCATTGTGTTTTGATCGATGCCATCTATTTCATCAACTATTTCATATTCTTCCTCTCCTTCTTTCTCTTCTTCATAGTTCGCTTTCGATTTGTGATTCCCATTCGTAACTTTAACGTACGGTATAAGAAACTTTAAGTGATCATATAAATAATATAGCCGACTAGTTTCAAATCTTTTATTTTGGTTTAAGTTTTGCTGCAAAGTGGTACGGAATCTTTTCCATTTTTTCTGCAATGGAAATACTGAAAAATTCGAGAGGAAAAAAGTGATAAGTAAATTAATACGTGTTTAATTATAGTTTTGGAAAGCATTTAGACATATGTATGTATACATAAGTTCAATTAAGGGGTAAAGCTGTTCCAGGATTTTGGAAAACTCAATTTCTTTTTTTTTTTGCTCACAGCGTACCTTTGGGACTTAGAAATTATATGCAATTGGTTTTAAAGTGAAAAGATATTTCAAATAGCTGAACTTTTTATTTTGCTGCAACTCCTCAGACTGAATGTATTTTTCTCAAAATCACATTTTTCAAACTGTGACGAGGAATCATTCGGATCCTATTTCACCGATTTATCTGATTTTTTGATGCCAGCTTCACAAATGCCTTTCTTTTGGAAGTTAGTTAAAAAAATGAATCCGTACGTACTTCCAAAGACCGTAGTTTATAGATCATGAAACTTTTTGTTTTTCTGCTCTAGGTCTCAACCTTTAGAAGAAATCGGTCCTCCCATGGACGTATTGCATAAAAACATGGATTAAATAATGGACTTCATCACCGCAATTTTGTAACAAAATACTAATTAAATATACATATGTTCAATGAAATGAATAAATGGATATTCTATTCCTTTTCTCATATTTTTAAAATTTATTCTATTTTTCAACCTCTAGAATGGAATTGTCCCTTAAATAAAATGATAATATTTCGACTTATTAGAGCGTAATAGATAAGTCAGATCGTTGGCTGAATTAAATGAGTGGATAATCTAATCGTGAAGACTGGTTATTTTTCTCCGTAATAATACATTTATTGGCCGTCTGTTTGTACGCAATTTGCCACTTAACTTTTGAGATATTTCAACCAGACCTCTTAGTACACATATGCTCTAGTGCATTTAAACGATCATTCACCGGGACCGGCCAGATGGGACCGCAATAAGAGTTGAAATACAGACGCAAAAAGCGAAAGGGCTTGTAATTTCCAAACATTTATTTAAAAATTTTTAGAACGAAGGGCCAAGAATCACTGGTTATTTTAAACAGAGCACTAAATTTTATTTCGATAAGAAGAAATACCAGAAATTAAGTATTTTTCTTTATTTCTACCATGGATATTGCACCAAGCGTTTGCCTACGACTGGTAAGAGTGGGAGTTTAAAAAGTTTGAGACGATTGGTAATTTCTTAAGGAAACTGTTTGAAACGAAGCTTTCCCAGACACTTTAATAGTTATACAAGGGTTTTGAAGGAGGGCACGGAGATACCAAATGGCCGGGCTCGTTACTAGTATCATTAAAGGAACCTTGACCACGTTGTGTATGAGCATGTTTGTGCTTTGTCAGACGTATGTACATATGTATATATGTCATCCTACTTTGTGCGGAATGGCAACAACTAAAATGTGAAAAAATCCATCATAATCTTTGAATTTATCCCCAACTAATAGAACTCACTTTTACGGCGGCATTCTCTACTGTGTTATAACGATTTTGGGCTTGTTAAAATGACTTGTCGATCATTTTAACGATTTTAATATTCGTTGTACTTCTTTTAATGATATTCGCTATCGCTTGGTCAGTTGTTGTCGGCAACTACTCGACATTTTATTGAAGTTAAAGTGAAACATAGGTGATGGGGAAATTTCCTTAGTATATGTTTATAAAAATAAAAACAAATTCATAAAAAAAAATTGACTTTTGAGTACCCTTCATCATCGGGCAGACGCTTGCTTTGTTAAGTGGAAGATCCTTTAAGCTAGGAGGGCACTGAGTTTCGGAATCTATATAGATTAATGCCAGATTTAGTTGAAGAAATCCTTTTACAACTTGATAGCCAACTAAAAGACATAAGAATAACAGCAACATCATCTAGCAATGTGCAAAAGGTAAGCATTTGTTTATTGTATTTGTACATAGCCATGTGATCCTCTCTCTAGTTTTTAGCGGTACACGGAAGTGTGGCTCCAGTGTAGTGCGAATGGTCATGCCGCGTATTTTTCAAAGTGGAAACCATAAAAAGTTTTTTATTTGGTAAACTCTGTAATTCAATTCAAATCATTTGATAATTATAATTGCTTTCAGGAATTTGTTCCGTTCTTGATATTTTTCTTTGTACTTTTCGCATATTTTGATGTTTTGTTTATCTCTAATGCCACCTTGCCTCCATTTTAATAAAAAGAAAAGGTTACTGAATTGCACCACTATTCAGACGGCACAGCAGGATCACCTATGCCCCTTGACATCGTTAATCTTTTTCTTTACTGGCGTAGACACCGCTTACGCGATTATAACCGAGTTAAAAACAATACGCGATTCGTTTTTTCTTTTCGCTTTTCTAACGACTTGTAGAGTTTGCTTTCCGTTCGAAGAGAGAGGACACATCGTTAAAACCGTTCTGAATTTGCCTTGTTTGTCATCGCTAGGTCAGCAAGACAAAAAAAAAAAAAACCTACGAAGCCTACGAATGGGCAATTGTCACAAATAAACTTCATATTGATGAGGAAAGTATAAATAATTTACTGAATAAAGATAAAAATATTTGAATCTGAGTTTCAGGTTAACTGAAAACAGCAGACGTGGTTTAAAAGGATCAAATGTGAACAGTTTTAATATCACTGTGTTATGACACCTAGCAAATACAACACAAAAATCTTTGACAACAAAACCAAAGATGCTATCAAAACCAATGTAGAACAAACCGACACAATTGCAAATAGACAACTTATTTTTAAATTAAATAACTATGCAAATTCGATGCAAACAAAATCACGGAATTTTTGTTTCTATTGGCCCTAAAGTCTTTTAACACTTCTCATAAGGTATTTTTTATTTAATTTAATAACTGAAATTAAAACTAGTAATTGTAAAAACATAACTGCCAAGCATAACGTTTGCGCATTTAAATTAAAAGCAAATAAATGAATGAAGAGCTCAACTTTTGCCGCAGTAGCTTCACCTTACTTAATTCGCCTTGTTTATCCTCTACTCCTAACATAGATATGTACATGTAGAAACATATGTATGTTAACTACTGTGCACTTACCTTCACTGTTGAACTTCTCTGCAATAGCCTTCCACGCTTCTTCCCTTGCAAGAATACTTCGTTTCTGTTTAAAGTCTCTTAAATTAGTATTGTATATAACTGGATACTTCTCCACAGTATGTACGAAACGTACATTAAACTTCTGCTCCTCCAGATCGTCCATTATTCAGCGTGAATTCTTAAAATTACAAATCAAGTAAACACACGAAGCGAACACAACAAAGGTTGATAGTGAACTGAATTGATGTGCGCATCTTACACATCGCACTTGTATAAGTTTGTTGGCATTGTAGTGCTTCGCCAACGACGCGACGTATGTATGTAGTGGCGATACACACTCGTGTGAGATTTCATTCGGGAGAGAGATGGCGAGACATGCAGTCTTTTGATTTTAGTTTTGTTCAGTGAACTAATGGGTAGTAACAATTGTTACCAATTTGTACTAAACCTGGCAGTAGAAAACGAATATACATGTAAAAGAAAATGTTATTTATCATTTTTATGTTACTCAAGAAATATTACAAAATAAAATAAATAATAATAATGAAATATAAAAAAAAAAAAAATGAGAAGGTTCCAAAATGTATGATGCGCAAACGAAAGCAAACTGCGCAATGTTGCTAAGGTTTGTGATGCTTTATTTTATTATAAATTCTTAACAACAATATCCGAAGTTGGAGGGTCAGTTTTTTGAGCTAATTCCGTTTTTGAACATTATATTCCTTTATTTTGATCTGTTTTATATTTAAGGGGAAAAAAGAGGTCGGAATTTTTTGCAGGCAGAACGTTCCAAAATGTCAGAGTTTGCAAAGTTTGTTGCCAAAGTGTTTTGAGGCCTTGGAACTCACCGTTATATATTGGCCCCAAAGCAGAAATGCCAAATATAACCTTGCGCGCTATCAGCAGTGCCATAGTATTATATAAAAAAATGTGGAGTATGTGGAATATTCTGCACTTTTACCAAACCAAACAAATGGAAAATTGGTGTTTCTTCTTCTCCACGTGCATATATAGCTTTGGTCAAAAGTATTAGGCACTCCACTAATAACTGAATTTTTTGTTTTAATTAGTAAAACAGTGAAAATACAATGAATTAGTGTTAATAACATTGATATTTAGTAGGTCCACCCTTCGATTTAATAACGGCAGCAGTTCTCTTAGGCATGCTGCGTACAAGCTTTGCACATTCGTCCGCACTTATAGCGAACAACTTGTTAATTAAGGCATTCTTTAAGTCAATTTTTGATGTTATACTGCGTTCCTTAATCTTGCGTTTTAACATAGCCCACATGTGCTCAATGGCGTAAAAACCTGTAGACTATGCAGGTCAATCGCTTATTGCTCCAAAATATATTATATAAATAAGCGAGAAAGCAAATTATTGTTGTTTTAAAAAAACCAAGAAAAATGCCTTCATTGCTCGCTTTATGATTGAAATGTTTGAAGTAATCATTACTCCTTTATTACTATTCCGTATGTAAGTATGCTTGCAGGTGTATAAAATGATTGAGGGTATGACTGATTTTTGAGTTGAATAATCCACCAAAGTTAATAAATAAAATTTACATTTAAATTCGATAATTTTATGACGGCTAAATGCAACTAAAACAACTCCACCATGCAAACCATCTCTCTTTCTACTCTTCATTGACAAACAGTTTCCTCGAGACGAATTCAAATTTTGCCAAAATACATTCAAAGCTCCCTACAGGTAAAAAAAAAAACAAATACACACAAAGTAGTGTGTGCCTTTGCACCCTTTACCTTTAAGGAGTTTCGCTGACAAATTTTGTTAGAAATCTGAAATTGATGTTGAACTCACGACAAAGTGAAAACACATACATACATTCACACATATGTATATTTAAACAATTTGATATGCGTATGTAAAACGCAAATCCGTCCCTGTCTAAACCCGCCATTCACAAACGACTCTATTATCCATTTTTAAAATAATTTTTTATTTTAATATTTTAACTATTAAAACTATTACTCACATCCAGTCAGCGTCAATAGAAAGTATACACCTTTTTCTCATACATTTCACTCTTTATTTCGGTGTAAAATAATTAACATTATTTTAATCAATTATCTTACAAGAGTTTAACAGCAATCCAAAGAAAACAGTGAGTTATTTAAATTCCTATTTAGAGTACACTTGAAATTGCAAACGCAAAGAAATTCACTAACTTAGAGATTTCCGAGATTCATCATAAATTGTATGTAGAAGGTTCAATGTTGCACCTTCTCGTTGTTGTAATTTCTCTGCCTATTTGCATATTTCAAAGGAGCTGATGCCACTGCAGCACATCCGTTGATCAATAAGGCCTTTTTTCAACTAGCCATTTTACATACACCCCAGCAATATCACTCGACTGGAAGAGAGATATGCATACACAAGTTATCGACGCCGCTTACAATGGCCAAATGTTGGCAGCTGCCAATGTGTATGCATAATTTCAAACTAATTTACAATTTTTTCAACAAATTTCATAATTGATATGTTCGAATATAAACGATAATCAACATATACATGATTTATATGTATATATATAATTGACGCTTTGTAACCGCGGATTCCAATTTGTGGGTTTGCGTCTTGATGTTTTTCCAATAAAAGATGGGTTTTTTATGAGGAGCTAATCACTCGGCTAGAGCGGCCGAGTTTACATATATGCATATGTAAGTATGTACATGTTTAAAAAAATTTACGACATCAAGGCATTAATTCTATGATGAGAACGTGAAAGAGCTATCAGAATCTAATGAAAACACACAAGTGGCACGGCACAAAATATCACTTGCAATAATTGTATAGAATCTAAAAGACTTCAAATCTACACACATATGTACATATGTATGTCCGAATAACATGAGCGAGTCTGGATAAGTAGGAGTTTAATCTGCTAAAATAACCGGGCCAGAGTTCTGCCAGTATTACGCGGGACTTTCGAGGCAGCTCGAGCTCTTCGTCGTTCATTTAACATGAAAACCTTTCCGAGTGATATACCGTGGAAGCAGGCATCTGATTAGGAATCCCACTTCTGACATTGGACTGATGCGCCAAACTGTGCTTGAGTTTATTTTTTAGTGTGTTAAGGATGTCCTTAAACTATAAATTGTGGAGTAATTTCGGATCATTTTCTATGTATGTTACTTTAGCTAAGACTCGAACCAGCATACATGCAAAACAACAAACAAACAAGCCTTCCTCAAATAATTGTGTTAATAATAAAAAACGTTATTTATATATGTATTTATTTCATTTTGTCACGGTTTTAGTTTTTATTTTCTCTCAAAATTTTGTCAACCAACTGTAGAACTCTGCTTTTGAATAGTCGCATCTGTGAGTTAGACATTTCATTTAGGTCTGGTAAAATACTGTTCAAAAATTCTATTTTGGCCTTTCGACTAGCCGCTACCTCTCCACATTCCGCATTTCCCGTAGAAGTTGATGCAAGACTCCTCGACGGAGTACAGGTAATGGTACTATTTTGAACAGCGTTGCTCTTTCTGGCTTGGCCGTCGGCAGGTATGGAAACATGAACATCGCGTTTAACAGTATTTGGTGAGTAAATGTCATCTTCATCATAATCACAATTGAGTGGATCACCTTCGTTGTCGTATATTCCTTCAGCTGTTTCATTTTGATCTACATTCTGTTCGGGGCTATTCTCACCACCCTTATCCTGTTCTTCATCCGATTCTTCGTACTTAATCCTTTTCATGAACGCTACAGGCTCTTTGACATTTTTCATATACGGTATTAAAAATTTTAAGTGCTCATATAAATAATATGGCCGAACATAATTTCCCTTTTGCATTGTCCTTAATTTCTTACTTAAAGCAAGGCGAAACCATTTCCATTTCTTCTTCAATAGTGCCGCTGAAAAGTGTGAGAAGAAAAAAGGTGAACTAATTACATACATACATTCATCTATACATATATAATAAATAGAAAAAATTCATCATGTAAAACACTAACACTACATTTCCACTGCTCTGGAATTTTCTAAATACTAAAGAAATTTTCCTAGTTTCGATTATTTGGATATAAACATGTTTTCAACTTGCATATGTATGTATGTTTACATTAACGAATGAATATTCCTGTTATCGTTTCAAATGAAAGAAATCAAGATAAAATGTCAACAAAAGCAGGTCGAATTCTGTGGAAATATTAAAATAATACTTAAAGGCGCCGTTTCTTCGAGTGCCTCTCAAAATGTAACTTCTCTTTAAACACGTTTCGTTTTTTCAACTGCCTGTTTTAGAATGTGACGGTTTAATTTAACAGGCGGTAAACAATTTATTTTTTGGACAGCAAACAGAAAACAGCTGATTTACAAATTTACTTATTTTCTTTTGTCATGATATATATATATACATACATAAATAAATATAATTGAAAATAGACAGGTATTTTATATTCATGAGCTTTTAGGAAATATTCGAGGAGTCCTCTGTTTCTTCCTTCCTCTTAGCAGCACGGCCACCTTTTATCTAATATTAAATAAACATTTGGCAGGAAGTCGAGAAAATGAAAACGAATGTAATCGTGATCCTCACATTAACAGCCACTCGAAACACCATCTTAAGGAAATTATTATTTTGGTTTTCATTAGCCCGGAAATTTAGTGTCCTCACAAATATGGAATTGATTGATTACGTGTTCTTCCTTCCATTTCGACAAATTACACATGCAAATTGAATATTGACTGACTTAGAAAAACAATTTGAGATGAGATTTGTTCTTGATGAAGAATAAAAAGTTAAAGATATGTATATATATAAAGAGAAGGGATCACTGTATAATATTTTTGTCATTATTTCTTCGCAATTTCATAATAATTGTTGGAGTTATCTTCTAAGCGTAAGTATGTACAGCTCATAGGGCTATCGAAATGGTGGCATCAAACCGATTTCCTTAGGCAGGACAAGTAAGATTTTATTATTAAGTAATCAAAATCTTTTTTTATATATGTGTGAACTTATGTATATATTAAATAATTACAACTGTGAAAAAATGCTTAATCGAATTAAAAGACGAAATTTTTATAACCTTTAAAAAGCAAGTATGTAAATACATATGTATGTATGTATGTACTATGTATGTTATAAAAACAATATTCACTCGTCTTACAAAATTTTCTGAAAATATCTTTAAAATTGACGGAAAGAAAGTGGTTTTGGTACAACTGTCGGAAATTTCGGCCTCCTCGGCGAAACATCCCCAAATGGGTTGTGGCTGATCGACTTCGCCGGGACCCGAAATATGGTTGTCTGTAATACGAGATTCCAGCAAAAGAAAATTCGTGTACATCAAGTTATTTGCCTGTTCCCTGTTCGAAAAACATAAAACCAGAAGATCCATGTTATGATAGACGTATCCTGTATTTTTAACAGTGAATTTTGCATTTCAAGTGCTCTACGTAAAGCTGCAAAAGCGACTGGTACGATGAGGACTGCGGTGCCGCAGTGCAGAAGAGAAAGCAGGCTGCCTACATCGCAACGTTGCGATCGACGACTGAAGGAGCGGGATGGGATAGATACTGATAAAAAGACGCATCTACAGACAAAAAAAAAAATGCGTTGAGTGTATTGTAAGAAAGATTAAAGCCACCGTCAACAAGCTGAATGGACTTCATCAGTGTGTTTGCACAATCTTAGAAATATAGAACCGTGAAATAAAGATCGACATACACCAGCCTTTGACAGCACGCAACGGATATGCCTCAAAGTCGATGTCTGGAAAAGCTCAGTAAGGATCGCAACGAGGAGTTTGATACCAATGAAGGAGATTACTTATCGTCTGACTTCTTTAATTTACTCCTGGAGAAAATTATAAGTGCTGCAGAGCTGAGTAGAAAAGGTACAATCTTCTATAAGAGTGTAGAGCTGTTGGCGTACGTTGAAGATTGGCATTATTGGCCCCAACAACTGCGCCGTGAGTTCTGCTTTCTCCGGGCTGAATAAGGAAGAATTTAATCAGACGAAATTTATTCCCTTTACTTCTTGTTTTTCTAGAATACAACGTTAAGCTGATGCAGTGACACAACGAGCTCTCGCTATGAATATATCGCCTCGTCTTGGGGTGAATTCAGGTTTTGACATTTCGACCGCACGATTACACAAACAGAATATGTACTTGTGCTGTATTCTTGTGATTTGTATGAATTTGACTTGGCTACGGGTAATAATTCTAGCATTTTTTTTGTAAGTTGTGTAAGCGAATGACGTCAAAAATGACAACAACTTTCCTTGTCAAATGGCATCTTTATTTTAATTTTTCAGAAAATGGTAATGTGAAGCATTCGAAAATTTTCTTGAAGTTTATGTGCACAATAACCCCCTGTGCAGTTTTTCAACGTTCCGATTTTTATGAAGAATTTTTCGAATAATGGAATTTTTGATATATGTTACTTGTATGTATGCCATTCGTGTTGCAGACACCAGATTTTAGAGTTGCTAACTGTATAAAATTTTGTTATAAAACAATGTTTATTTTTTATAATTTAAATTGATTGAAGATCTATGTTAATAACCACACTAGAATCGCGTACTTACGTTCGGTATTGAACTCCTTTGCAATATCCTGCCATGCTTTGTTTTTACGATAAAGCCAATTTGTTTCTTTGTAACCTTTTAATTTAGTGTTATATATAATTGGATATTTTTCTATAGTTTGCACGAGACGAATATTAAACTTCTGATCGTCTAATGAATCCATTACGAGGCGCTAACGAGACCACAATAACAATTACAATGTGCGAAATAAATAAACTGAGCGAGCAATCGCTTCAAATACTCAAAAGAAACTGAACTCACTGCGCTCCGCAATCACCTTGTACAAGTCCATTGGTAACGTTGAGCTCAAAGTGTAGCGACGCGATGTTTGTATTTACTCGCAATTTCTAGTGTTCGTTTTAATTCGTTAGGAGAAGTCGGTTTGTTGATTGCATTGTCAATTCGAGAGAGTAACATTATATATACTCGTACATACATATGTAGTGAGAATGTGTACATATGTCTATACAAATGTATATTATGTAGGTATGTATGTAGGTAAAGTTTGTTGGTTGACTCAGGCTGCAACTACCCAACTCACTCTCCAGCCGTCCATAACTGACGACGTTAGTAGTGAAATACATACACGAGCTATCGACGCTGCTGAGAGCGGCGAAATGTTGCCAGCTGCCTGTGTGTTTGCACACTTTTGAACAAATTCATAATTTTCGTCAACGAATTTCATAATTTATTTGCTTTAACATAAACACAAGGCAAATATACATGATCTATATAGTAACAAATAATTAGTTACGCATTTAGTTTTCATTTCTTTTGAACAAAACTACGCATTATCTTCGATTATTTAATGTTACTTTAAGAAAGGCTATACTGGCAACCTTGTATAGCAACAAAAAATGAGCCGAGCCGGTTTTACGGAAAAATCAAAACTTCGTTGGTTTCTGCGACACAAACGTCAGCAACGCTATGGTAAATCGGTGACAACTTTGTGTTTACATGGCGCTCTCATAAGATAGGTCGCTATGGACGGCTGGTACGTGAGTTGGGTAGTTGCAGCCTCAGACTTTGATATTAATATTGTTACGATTTTACTAAATCAACCTCGATGATTTTCTGAATCCTTCGGGTACGATCTCTGGATTGTTATATAAAAACTCGCCAACTTAATTTGCAGTTTCTTTCGTTATAAAGATTCTATCTAATGTCCTTTAATTTCTCAGTAATTCACAATTCAATTATAATGCACTTTACTATTTATAATCACTTGTATCAACTTTCACAATTTACTTTACTTAAATGTAATCTCCAAAGCGTTTACTTTACGACTCTATAGTGATGTTGTCGCCAACGAGTTCACTTTTTAACTAACTTAACTTGGCAGCTGAGTGTCGCCCTTATATAGCAGTCGGCTGCTCGCAGATGAAAGTGTAGAATCATCGAGTTTTTCGCTATCGAAGGTTCTCGTTTTATCGTTCTAGAATGTACTAGTTATCGGCTTCTCTCTTTCATCTGACATTCGCCGCACATTTTCATAACAATATTTTATGCAGAAGTTGGTCAATGTTTCAAAATCTATACGAAAATCATTTAAAAATGGATTCGGTGGCGTTGTGGATTGACGACGATAACAAAGTTGAGATTCAGCGCAGACATTTAAGGAATCAGTCAGGCATTTGTGCCTGAAAGATCAAATGTGAGATAAGTTGTGCTAAAATTGAGGAGAAATAACCATTGACGGCATGTGTTGTTTTTTTTAGAGTTTTATTCAAGACTTTCGACTGAACTAAGAAGCATTTTTCTATGTTTGAAATAGTATTGAGCCGAAATTAAAAACACCCCATCGTTGTGTCGCAATCCCTCAATCCTAAGACTGGCAGCTGCTTTTTTTTTTATAAAGAAAAAACCAAAGATGCCATTATGAGCTTACATTTTCCAACCGTACCAAATGCTAGTTTCTTTCGAATAGAATTTCGTAATAGCATTTATTCGAATTCGAACATTTTTTCTTTCGAATCCCAATGCGTAGTAGACACACTGGTTTTCATTGTTTTGTTTTCGAACATGAAATCGCAACGATATGACATCTGCCAGAAATCGACAATGGTCTTCAACTGAGCAGCTAAAGCGCCAAATTGCGTAAGAAAATTTTTTTTCATAAAAATTTTAAATTTACTTATCAGATTTATCAGCGATTTGTGCGTTTAAATGAAGAATTAATGATTAAAAGAATTCAAATTTATTTTAAAACTCGGTATGAAGAAACAGGTTTTTGGAGTTTTCCCATTGGTCAAATAACCGAAGTAGAAATAATAATTGAATTTTTGCTTTCTTGGTACATATTTTGAATCAAATATATGTAGGTCTTACACATTATTGCTTTGAGTATGTTGCAATCGATATATTTGGTTGTTGGTTGTCGTAATGCTCGGGGTAGACTAGGTAGTCTAAGTCACCGAGGTCATCTAACGCGAAGTCAAGGAAACGTGCTGTTTCGACGGGGGAGGTGGTTGGTGTCGTGCGAGGAATCGCTATACGCTGAACATATGTTGGGTATGTCGGAGTCGGGTCTGGATAAGTAGGAGTTTAACCTGCTACAATATGCAGACCTAAGTTGTGTCCACATTATGCGGGTCTCTCTCACCTACCTTCTTTCTCTGCTATACTGCAGCTCGAGTTCTTCGCTTGTTATGAGCGGTGATTTGACTAGGCGAACTTCATTTACGGGCAGGGCGTATTTGAAGGTGTTAACTGACTCCTGGTAAGTGGCGTTTAGTGCCTGTTTATACGCGTTTGTTGCGGGTATTGCTGGATTGTATTCTTTAAGTCTAGTATCCCATTTCCGATATGCCCGGGTGGAGGTTTAGCCTGTATAAGATGACAGTTGGAATACTACCGCAGCAAAGTATTATTCTCCTGAACTCGTCGTACAGATTCTTTGCTATGTAAGTAATGCTCAAGTAACATCAGGAGGTTTCCTGCGGCAGTCCTAAGGGCGGTGTTTTAACAGGCCTGTAGCTTATTTTCCTAGCAAGGTTTCTTTGTATTTACGCCCAGCGCTGCCGTCTAGCGCTTTAAGGATTTGATTTTGGCTCTGTAGTTCTGCGGTCATTGTGATCGTATGCGGAGTGCAGGCTGCCAAATGTGGCTCCTAGTAACTTTGGGTTGCTTGCGGTCGGAATTTTGACGCCATCGAACTTCACTTCTATTACGAGCCCGAATTCCTTCGCCCATCTGATGAAAAGGGTAGCCGAGGATTTTGTAGGTGTATATGTAGATGTCGTGCAATGAAGAAGTGGGATTGATCGCCGAGATAGTTTACTTTAGAACAAAGATCATCAATATCCTAGCCAGACGCAAATATCGAGAAATCATTTGCATATGAGGTCAAGGAAACCCCTCCTGTAGTGAAGAAGGGAACTTCGAGATGTAGAGGTTATACTGTAATGGGGAGAGGACACCATCCTGCGGAACCCTTCTTTAATCTTCCCGAGTTTCTATGTATGCACCGCAATTCTACCAATGGTTGGCGACCCCTTAGGCAGCCCATGATAGTAGAACTGAACTGGTTGACTGTGTCACAAATCTAGTGCTACCAGGGTCGGTTTTGGTTGAGACCATTGACTATCCGAGTGTTTATGGTGTTAAATGGTACTGTGCACTTTGCTGAAGCCATGCTGATGTGCTGCTGGACTCAGATGCTGTGTAAAAGTCGGAAGCAATAAGGCCTCGAGTGTCTTCGCTACTGGGGAAGGGAGAGATATCGGCCGATAGCATACTCCTTTATTGGCTGGATTTCCCGGCTTGAGTAGCGGGATCACCCTTCCCATTTTCCACATTTCGCGTATTTCTCGGGTGTTCAAAGACAGATTGAGAACCTGGTGAGGAAGTAGCATCAGCATGATTATTCCATCGGGGCCGATGTATTTGGAGTCTTTCGCCTTCCCGATGACCCCCTGAACCTCTTTCCTGGATAGTATAAAAAGTCTTCTAAAATAGCTCTCGCATCTCACCGAGTGAAATTTGCACTCTGTCATCGCATCGCGCGTGACCCAGAGGAGAGATTGCAGAATCTATAGTGCTTCTCCAACTTTTCCCGCTTATGATTGTCTACTATTCGCCGAATCTCCTAGTTCAGATCCCTGTTTGGGTGATTATCGGGATCAGCGTTGCGAATGGAGTCGCGCTTTTATGCTAGAACTGTCGCTTTCGTCGAGAAATTAGGGCGGATTTCCGCAATTTGGCCTGCCATTCACCGGATGTAACGTCTGATGGAGTGAGGAGAGCACTAAAAAAGTTTTAAGTAAAATCTGTGAATCTGAGCCAGTTAGCTTTTTTGAAGTTAGAAAATATCCCGCAGTCTACGGAAACAATGTCGGAAGGCCTGTCAATCGAGATTAGTATGGGTAAGTTATCCGATGATAATATCAGTATAGGGAGCCAGACACTATACTGCTTATCAGACCAGTACTCCCAATGGGAATGTCTGATATGGAGCAGAATGTCGAGTCGTCTATCTGCTCCGCAAGCTCCATCCCTCCACAGTCGTTTGACAGGCTAGAAAGCCAACGATCGTGATGCACGTTAAGATCACCCAAAACCAAATGGGTTTTCGCCTCTGAGTAGTGCACCTATATCAGGGCTGAGCAACCGGGCACAAGTAACTGGGATTTACATATTAAATATTTCGAGATCGAAATCGCCTTAACCTCTAGGGTAGTATTTCTGTGGTCGTTGTCGCCGTCGATGAGATGATACTGCACGGTGTTGTGTGTGATGAACGCTAAGCACCCGCCATAGCCTCGCAATGCTCGCGGTCCTTGGGGAGAATGTTGTATTCGGCCCAGCTCAGGAGATCCGATCGGGCGTTCAACCTCATTTCCTAGATCGCAGGCAGCTATTGACAAGTGCTCCCGGCTTATATAGTCGAGTATGTCATGCATGCGGGGAGCTCCGTGAGACAGTAAAGGTTTGTGATTGATTACCAAGAGTGTGTAAAGGTACAGAAAGCACTGCTATATAGACTGGGGGCGCATTTGAGCGCTGGCAGAATGGGCCATATAACTGGTGAACCAACCCCTGTGTGTCTTCAGGCCTGAGAAGACTTTAAGATGGCTGCAGGCATTGCAATGGTGACATCCAACCGAAATTGAGGAACGGTGGAGTCGTTTGGAACTCACGCAGCAGATATAATCCGCCGGACCAAGGTTGGTTTCGATGCCTGTCCTGAAGAGAGGGATTTAGAGCAGCCCAGCTGTAAAGTGTTGCTCCCTCGGTGAGACTAATGTTACCTGTTGACCTAAGCCTAATAAGATCGCCGAAAGTGTGACAGCCCTTGGTCCTTCTTCTTCTTTAATGCTGCAGACACCGCTTACGCGATTATTGCCCCATCCATTTCTTCTTTTCGGTGGTGGGCGCCAATTGGAGATGCTAAGTACAGCCACGTCCTTCTCTACCTGGTCTTCTCACCGGTGGTTCACCGGTCAATTTT